TGCATGAGGCAACTATTCTGTTTCTCATATCGGGACTTGAGAAGTCGCCAGTGGCCGCTTTGCCTCAGGGATGGGGCAAAGTGGCCAATATGCTATAGGTTTAAAGTTTTGTCAATATCTCCCATATGTGAACGCCTTTGGAAATGAAACGCAGTTGGAATAAAAGACAATTTAATAGGGATCACATTGGTATAGAAAGAATCTTTCCAAGTTTAAAAATCAAGCGTCGGTATCGTTAGAAACGTTAGGGTGGCCGCTTTGCCCCACTCTCCCCTACTGCAGCTATTTTCGTAACGTAATTTTATTCTAATGTTTGAGTAAAAAGTAACGACTGATAATTTGATAAATAAGGTCAACGAGCAACTAGCGCAACCTAAGCTAAAAACAATTTAGAATCAACCATGATCCAAATTTGACTAAATCCCATCAAATATCAGTAATGTGTGTCAGATAACCGTCGTGAAAACGGCTATTGTAAGCATATTCAGCAGGGTTCCCTGAGTTCACTGGTGGCTTACTCGACTCGTAAGATTAATTTCATTCAGTCATTGACAAGAAGAAAACCGATGACCTCACACCGCACACGACCATACAAAGTAACGGCATATACGACGCATTGCAAGGTCCTCAATGCAAAAACCTAAGAATCGCTCATTGCAAAAGTGCATGAAATCACGATTACAGGCGTTTGAGATGGGCTTGGATCATTTTCGGCATCTAAATAACAGTTTCAATGTTTCAATATTTCCCATTGACTTATATTAGTGAAGTCACGTGACCAGCTTGACCTCGGGTGAAAATTTAGGAAAGTTGAAGGAATTGATGTTGTGAAATCTCAAGAGCCATTACTATATGCCGTTACTTGTTTCATCCCCTGCAAAAGGTATACCCTTACACTGAGAGCACTGCAAAGCTGCAACTTTTTGCATCATTCCGAGGTTTATTTGTGACGTTAAAGGTCAGTAAGCTGACCTGAGCCTATCTGTTGGTATCGACAGATTCGGATTAAATCAATGTTGAAGTATATCAACTTTCAGCTCTCCAGCCTTACAGCGTTGCAAACAATATCGAGAAAACCGTTGGGGCTGCACATCAAACCCTCCCCTTCGGCCGGGTGGGAATAAAAATACTAATAAAGTGAATGTTAGTGAAACATGGAGCATCCCAAGCCACTCACTACCTCGAAATGCATTAATTTCAAAACGTTAGAGATGCTTCCAGTTCCAAGAAAACAGAATACAATATCGGCTAGTTTTCAAGTACTTGTAATTTTGTCACCCCCCACCCACTCTGACCTGGTCACGCCCCTGGCAATTGCAATCAATTACCTTCAAATGCCGCATTTTGGTACTCATATATTTTTTTGTGGCAAAGTTATTCATTAAAATTATACTGAAAGTCCATTATTACAAGGACAGAGCGAACTTCATGCGATTACTAGCTAGAGCCTTCTCCTCATTTGACTCTAACACTAAACACAGCCTAGGCTCTTATGAACGTAAGTTGTGTAGGTATGTCCGGCCACAACGTTCGATTCACAATTTTGATAATTCCTAACGGTTCATTAGCGGATCCAGCCGGACGTGTTTTTTTTTTGGGGGGGGGGGGGCAAATGGCCGAAATTGCCCCTTCCTTTCCATGCACCGCCATAGTTAAAACTCGGGTCTTTTTGGGGGGTAAACGGACTTTGGGGGGAGCATGGTCCTACCCCCCTTGGATCCGCCAGAGTAACGTTTCATCAGTGCAAGCTGCTTAGAAGCATATCAGAATTACATGCGAGGCAGCCAATATCAGTGTTCAGCTCAAAATTAATTTTTTGACCGTCATTGAACAATGCTCGAAACTACTGCCCTCTCCTCCTGACTCGGCTCCTGGGCCACGTAGCGACACGCGGCAAGCGACATTCAAAAGACCTTCGAAAATCAAGACAAAAGCAGTCATTTTTTAAGTCTGGTCAAAGGTCAGGTCACCAGAGAACATCAAAGGTAAAATCTTGCCTATGTATGTCAACACATTTCGAAACTCCGGCGCATAAATCAAGAACCAATAGAGCTGCAGCAGCGCCGCAGAAAAACGCATTCGATAGCCCTTTCAACGCCTTTTCTAAAAACAGTGCTCAGATTTGACCTCAGGTCAACGGTTTAGCTGCCAGAGGCAAAAATTGAAATAGCTGCTTTTACGAACAATGTTTTTTTTAAATAACTTTTGACTTAAGAAACGTCGAGATCTCTCGTCGAGATGGCTCGAATGAATTATAATTTGGACCTAAGAGGTATTTTGAAAATTTGACCTTGGGTCAAGGTAGTGACCTGATCGGAACAGGTCATTTTGCATATCAGTATTCAGTAGATCCGTATTGTCGACCTGAACACATCGAATGTGTTTTCATTCCTCTAAGCATGTCTCCATAAAAAGTTATTGTCAAAAACTGCTGGGGGCCTTTGATGACCTAATATGACCCCAGGGGAATGGAGGGGTCATGGTTGCAATTTTTCGATTTAGAGTGTCTAGTTTGCCTGTAACCCGATGTTTGAGTGTTTGGAATGGCGTTCGTCTAAAGAGCCGCCTTTCGATTTTCTACTATTTGCTCAAAATGGAGAGGGCGCAAAATTGACCTGACCGTCGGTCACCGATATCAAAACTCCGAGATAAACATTTTATACATACTGCTACTCTTACCAACCGCTTAAAGTTTCAAGGCGATCATTCAGTCGGAGTAGCTATGACAAACGTTCAAGTTTTTCTGAGGCGAGGTTTCTTGGAAGTGACGTAGTGACCGGACCTTTAGCGACCTAGGTCTGAAATTTTCATAACATGTGCGGAAAAGATGCATTGACAGGTGTGCCAAATACGGCTGCCGTTTTTTTAGATACCCGTTAAAGACCGCAATGGGGTGTCCGAACATATCAGGCCCCATCTCTCCTGATGACTCTCTTGCAACAAGCTCGGCTTAGCTGGAGGGCATCGGGATGGATGGCAAGACAATATGCATGAATTAGACCAGACCTGATTTCCCCCACTAATGTCCCCTTCCAAGTGAGTGTGTGCATGTTCCTCACTAACAATGTACGATTGAACCCTTAGCGGACAGTTTATGCTGGATTTGGCATCAACTACTATGGCTCTCTGCTCTCTGTATCTACTAACCAAGTTAAATAGGTAATATCATACGTAGTCAATTCTGCTTCTTTTATGTTTTTTCCTCTTCTTAGCAGGGAGTGCCGTGACTTTTCAAGTTCGATTTTGATTTTGGTGTTAACGTAAGGGTTCTGTGCGTCGCTGGGACTGAGGGTGGGGGCACTCCTGGTTGCCTGATCATGGGTAACGGACTAAAAAAAAGAAGTTAAAAAACACCTCCCCAGCCCCGGCGTTGGTTAAAAAAGGCGCTACTTGATGTTTGGTTGGGCAGAGCCTATAGGTTGATGTCACAGATTGGCGTTTGCACGGGCGCATCCAGGTTGGTCCTCCCTCCCCCCCCCGGCCTTGATGGCTAATGATAAGTGATTTTCATTTTTTAAATTTATTTTTGGCAACTTTACAAAATAAAGTGGCGGAAATTCGGGGAGAAAATAGGATTTGGGGGTAAGTTAGGTTCCCCCGGCGCTATCCTAGCGAAAAACCTATTGGGCATTTGCCCCCCCCCCCCCCAGATGACCCTGGATCCGCCGTAGCTTATTTGTTATGACATCATCCATTGGGGAGAAATGTGTCATGATTGCCATTTTTCTTCATCCAGTATCATTTATCAAATCAAGTTTGAGTTCAGAAGGTTTATCCAAAAATATTTTCAGATTTATTATGGAAGCAGTTGATATTCATAACACCGACAAAATACCAAATGCCTTTGGTATATAATACCGAATACCGAGTCGGTATTGGTTCGGTATCGGTATACCGAAATTTCGGTAACCGATTGACACCACTAGTTGGTACAAACCTCCTGGCAATTGAATCCTATGGTTCCTAGATACACCAAATTTACAAGGGTAGGTGGACCCATAGGAGATCTCACTCTGTGACACACAGGAGTGGCGGACAGAGTGGCGGAGTGGCGGACAGAGTGGCGGAGTGGCGGACAGAGTGGCGGACAAAGTGGCGGACTGGCGGAGTGGCGGAGTGGCGGACAGAGTGGCGGAGTGGCGGACAGAGTGGCGGAGTGACACACAGAGTGGCGGAGTGGCGGACAGAGTGGCAGAGTGGCGGACAGAGTGGCGGAGTGGCGGACAGAGTGGCGGAGTGGCGGACAGAGTGGCGGACTGGCGGAGTGGCGGACAGAGTGGCGGACTGGCGGAGTGGCGGACTGGCGGAGTGGCGGACAGAGTGGCGGACAGAGTGGCGGACTGGCGGAGTGGCGGAGTGGCGGAAAGAGTGGCGGACAGAGTGGCGGACAGAGTGGCGGACAGAGTGGAGGACAGAGTGGCGGACAGAGTGGCGGACTGGCGGACAGAGTGGCGGAGTGGCGGACAGAGTGGCGGAGTGACACACAGAGTGGCGGAGTGGTGGACAGAGTGGCAGAGTGGCGGACAGAGTGGCGGAGTGGCGGACAGAGTGGCGGAGTGGCGGACAGAGTGGCGGACAGAGTGGCGGACTGGCGGAGTGGCGGAGTGGCGGACAGAGTGGCGGAGAGTGGCGGACAGAGTGGCGGACAGAGTGGCGGAGTGGCGGACAGAGTGGCGGACTGGCGGAGTGGCGGAGTGGCGGACAGAGTGGCGGACAGAGTGGCGGACTGGCGGAGTGGCGGACAGAGTGGCGGACAGAGTGGCGGAGTGGCGGACAGAGTGGCGGAGTGGCGGAGTGGCGGAGTGGCGGACAGAGTGGCGGAGTGGCGGACTGGCGGACAGAGTGAGTCGCTGCAGGAGGTGAGCCCAGCTGGAGGCCGCTGGCCGCAGCCCATGTGCCGCACTGCACCGGCGCTCCGGCGGCCGCCCCGCGCCGGTTCTCCGGTCTCTGGTATGTGTGTGTGTGGGGGGGGGGGTCGGTGGGAGGTGGTTTTGGCTCACCGTCGTCGTCTTTGCTGGCGCGCGCGCCACAGCTGCTGCGGCCGGCTCCGGGCGACAGCGGGAAACTGGCCCGACTGGGCGAGCCCGGCGCCGGCGCCGAGTAGTAGGCCTCCTCGTCTGCCGAGCCAGCGCGCAGCAGCGCGCCAGAGTTCAGCTTCTCAGAGCGGGTGGACCTGCGGCAGCGGCGGTAGGCACTCAGTGGCCGGTAGGCACTCAGTGGCGGCGGTAGGCATTTCTGTCCAACTTTTGCTGGGGTGCCCCTGTCCTGCAGGGGGGCACTTCTCTTTTGCTATCTAAAAGTTCACGATCACCACGAACCCACATCAGCGTCCGTTCGCTTGGTGTGTGACCCCTTGGCCTTTGGCCGCGACAACTGCCAGCTTGCCGGAGCACCCCTCCCTAAACGCGCTCCCACACCCATTCCCCTCCCTCCTTCTCGGGGTCGTGTCACGGAGGCTTGGGCTTACGCTACTATCGGCCGCTGCGTAGCTCTCACCGAGCGCATGGGAATACGTAGGGTCTCTCGGTGCGGATTCAGCCAACTACCGGCTCGCGACACCAGCGCCGCGTAGTGGCGACGGTACATTCTTTTTAGACATACTGTACAGTGGGTCTATTTAAGATCTCCAGAGCCACCACGTGGCGCTACGGTCGGGGTAGGGCGAGTCCAAATCCCGAGGGGAGTGAGGTCGCCGGTCATTGTGGGGGAAGGAGAGAGGGGGAAGTGACACGCTGCTATCGCGGCGTGGAGCGTGCGTAGCGCCGGGAGTGGGCCGCCCAGGGCCGCCCGCCACTGCGCCGCGGCTGAGGGGAGGGGATGCTGGTTGCGGGTGCGCTCACTCAGGTATGGTGGTATCCTGTTCATGTGAGGCCAGCAAGAATGCGACTGAAGGGAATAGTTATCTCAAACAAACGGGCAAGCGAGAGGCAACGCCTTAATGAAATCAAGGACCTATGCTTTCAGTCGATATTTGCATGATGTCTTAGGCTTTTCTAAATTTTTATTCAGTTGCATAATTTCTTTCATTCTTTGGCAAGCTCAGCCTTGATGGGTTTTTATCGGGTCGAAAACAATCACGAGTTGAAATGGGTCCAGAGAAACGACCAAAAACATATTTATGGAACTCAGCAAAACATCCTATATGTATAGGTGCGACAATTTTGACTTTATCGGGGAAAGATAAATCACCGTGCTTGTCAGTGCTGCAGAAGAAGGAAAGGTTTTGGTTAGTGTCTAGATAAAACCAGAGCCGTGTGGGGCTCGAACCCACGACATCGCACTCGGCACACAGAACACACAGCTCCAACGCTACGAGCACCTGTCACACTGCGCCCCTGCGCAGCCTGCTGGATAGTGTTTCGGCCAAAGTTGTTGGTTGGATGTCTGACGTCTGTGAATGTCACGAGGCCAAGCCCGAAGGTAAATGAGGGAGCTGAACCAGGCTGGACCGGGGTCTTACACCCAATCGTGGTTATACAGGGTGTCCCAGAAGTCTTGAAGCTTTTTTATTTTTGCTGTGTGACCTTGCTATGCCACCGATTAAGGCCAATCATACCTCAAACGAAAGAGAATGAACTGAAATTTTGTATTTTCATGCGTAGAGCACCACTTTAGTCAGGTGGCCCCCGTTGTGAGTCGCACAAGAACGAGCGCGAGAGATCACGTTCTTCGCTGCCACCAAGATCTCCCGGTTTGCGAAACACCGGTGTCGCCATGCCCGTTTCTTGTCAGCTTCAGAGTCTTATTCCCTGAAGCGAGCGACATAATATTAGCGGCATATATTTGCGACAGGTTGATATTTGTCTTAGCCCCATAATAATGCGACAAATCAAAGGATTACAACGGGCTGTTGCTTAGCGCGCTCAAGCAGCTGAGCCTTATTTTCGTAATGGATGCGTGCAAACATGTCCGGAGACTTTCTGATCAGTAAATCATTATGTTGCTAATGTTTTCTCGGGGATGCAACACTATGTTTTTTGGCTCACTTCATGGAATAAGTTATAAGGCTCTGAAGCTGACCAGAAACGGGCATGGCGACACCGGTGTTTCGCAAATCGGGAGATCTTGGCTGCAGCGAAGAACGTGATCTCTCGTGCTCGTTCTTGTGCGACTCACAACGGGGGCCACCTGACTAAAGTGGTGCTCTACGCATGAAAATACAAAACTTCAGTTCATTCTCTTTCGTTTGAGGCATCATTTGCCTTAATCAGTGGCATAGCAAGGTCACACGACAAAAATAAAAAAGCTTCAAGACTTCTGGGACACCCTATACAAAACAGAAGTTAGTTTCGGGTCACATATCTTTATATTTTTTGTGTGTGTGCTTTTAAGCTATTTTATTTTATAGTTTTTTAATTCGAAACTTTATGCACAAAAATGCAATACTCGTCCACTTTTCCTCATCCTCTTTTAGCGACTAAATTTGACCTTAGTCCGATGTGAACCATCTCACAAAAGAAGAATCGCCGGCCGTGACAATAATTCGCCCAAAGGCGGTCTACGCAAGAAACACCAGCCAGTCCCTAACTGGCGAACGATATTTCTGGTGCTGGAATCATCTCCAATGAAAATTTCAAGGAAACATTAAAAATCTTAATCCTTTGAGCTACTGGGTGCTCTAGCATTCCATCTGCCAGTTGCATTCCCAACATCACTATCATTACCAACAACAATGCCTCCACAGCATCATGCATTACTAACATCACATATGCATTACTTTGAGTGCGTAATAGATGACAATAGATGCACCGGCCACGGCAAACCCATGCCTTTATCCTTTCCTTCCAAGCAGCCAGGCTACCGGCCGCCAGGCCCGCCACCGCGATATGGAACAGCGGGCCGGCTGGAATGCGTCATTTGCCTGCGGCAGCGCCCAGCTGCGCCGGGGCTGTTTGACAGGTCACCCATACCGTGACCTCGCCCCTCCCCACCTCCCCACCGGGCCCAGCTCGGTACTGAACACCCTTTGACTTTGACATGGACTCGACTAAGGCTCAACGCCATCTAGTTACGTCTGGAGATCCTTACTAGATCCACTGTACGACCGACAACCCGTCGGGGCAAATTTCGCACTGGGGTACCTACTCAAAATTTGAAGAATTTAAGACGTTTCCATGAGTTTTGAAGGTATGGATAAGTTCTAAAAATCCGGTTCTCCTTATCCGGGTCATTAACTCCATATGGTCCAGGAAAGCTGGCACACTACCTTTAAAAGTAATCCGAAAAGATTAGGGCCTCCAGCGGGACGGCGGCGGCGGCGACAGGGCGCTGTCATTCGGTGACCACTGCCCGCCACTGCTACGGAGCGCAGCGCGCGCCCCCTCGGCCCACTAACCGTATCGAGTTGCTGCGGCTGAGCCGCGGCGACGGGCCCGCCTCCCACTGGCCGCCGCCCATCAGACGGCCCTGCGTCAATGAGCCGCTGCGCTGCGAGTGGCTCTGCGAGAGCAGGCCGGACGCGCCGGAGCTCACCGACTCCAGCGACTCGGCCTCGGTCATACTGCCTGTCAGGAGAGAGGAGAGCCTCGGTCATACTGCCTGTCAGGGGAGAGAGGAGAGCCTCGGTCATACTGTCTGTCAGGGGAGAGAGGAGAGCCTCGGTCATACTGCCTGTCAGGAAAGAGAGAGCCTCGGTCATACTGCCTGTCAGGGGAGAGAGGAGAGCCTCGGTCATACTGCCTGTCAGGGGAGAGAGAGCCTCGGTCATACTGCATGTCACGGGAGAGAGAGCCTCGGTCATACTGCATGTCACGGGAGAGCCTCGGTCATGCTGCCTGTCTGAGGGAGCCTGAGTCATGCAAGCAATCGAAAAAACAAAAATGCATATTTGGACAATAGTTTGCAAGTCTGTATGGAGATAACCTATCATAAACAACCGAGCATATAGCAAATAACTCATCAACAAATATGACCGCGATCCGCCCAATTAGTGACAATACATATACACAAAGGGCACGCACGTGCGCTCGTGGAGACATAAAAGCTGGCGAGCTTTAGAAGCTAAATCATACAAGGATTAGGATATGTTCTGACCGTTTTACAGCAGCGACGTTTCAGTCGCAGGCGACCAGCTGCCGGGCATCGGCGGTGACATACATGTGTGCATCGCTATTTCACAGTAGCTGTGATATTTATGTCACATCTACTGTGAAATAGTGGCTGGCGGTCGCCGGCGACTTGCTTACGTCATATTTACGGCACCGCCAACCCTTCCCGAGCAACCAACGACGCCATGGCCGGCTTGTGCTCTTGAAAGTTGTTTGGTGTTGTTTTGTGATAATGATTTTTTTTTTCTTGAAATAGGGTATGGACCAGACCATTTTCAAAGAGGTCCGTCTCATCTCACCGTCCCCTGGTGTCCGCTAGTGGCCGGGACTTACTTCACACACCTACTGTACAAGCGTACGTACATCTAACGCAGATAAGGGATAGCGCAATAACTTCACATTTAGGGCGGCAGCATCATTTTGAGGGGCATCACCGACATGTCAAGGGGCGGCAGAATCATTTTGAGGGGCGCCACCGACAGTACAAGGGGCGGCAACATCACATTTTGGGGGACACAGTTAATTTGAAGGACGTTACGATGGCATTAAGAGGCAGCATAATCATGGCAAGGGGCGGGCGCATCATTCCAAGGGCCGTCACCATCCCTTTCAGGAGTGGCGGCATCACCTTCAAGGGCGGTAATTGGGCCTGCATGCGCCTGCGGCATATTATGTATAATGGCGGAGACTGGGTAGGCACTGGGTCGGCATTTTCCGTGACTAAATCGGTAATCGCCAGCGCAGTGAACATGTTACAATACCGATCCGGTAGGTAACGGATCGGTGTGAGCTACGCTTTCAACACGGTTTCCCGTTTCTCCGAAGTGAGAATTGCCCAGAGGCACTGAATGTTATTGGTCCCACGTCAATGCCCACAAATAACTCCTGTTAGAGCCTATAGACCGCCAATAACTCCTCTCAGCATGCACAGACCGCAAGAAACTGAGCTCTCAGAGCGCACACCTCTGCCGCCGCCGGCAGCTTACCTCTGAGCGTTTTGGCGAGCTGCTGTCCCACGTAGGTGGTGTAGGCGGAGCTGGGCCGCTGGGCGGGCGCCCGGCGCGGCTCGCCGTAGCCACTGTAGTTGCTGTCACTCAGAGAGCCGTCGGAGACGTTGGCTGCGCGCTGCCGCTGGCCGGCCGTGGGCAGTGTGCCGGCAGCCAGCACTCGCTCGCGCACCGCCTGCGCCAGCTGGTGCGCGGCCGGCGCCGTCAGGCTGTACGATTTGAGCTGGTGCGTCCGGCGCTGCTCGGGCTGGCCGGCCAGCTCGGCCGTGGTCTGGGTGCTGCCGCTCACCTTCACCTTGGTGCGCGGCCGGTGCTCGGGGTCCTTGGGCGGCAGACCGGCGCTGCCTGCCGAGCTCACCGACGTCTGACTGCTCGGACGTTTCGTGTAGATGGCCGCAGACTTGCGCAGCTTCTGGCGTGACAACTTCAGGCCGGGCGACTCGGCGGCAGCAGTCACTGCCGGCTCAGACGTACTGGTGCCATTCTCTGCAGCGGACAGAGCGGGGTCAGCGCGGACCGGGAGCGACAGGCAGAGGGGGGGGGCTTAACAATCAGGCGGCCGGTTGCATTAGGCAATGCAATTCAGACTCTCAAGGCACAGTTTTGCTAGCGGCGTCACAGGGCACCACTGGCTGCGGCCGGTTGGCAGGCCGCAGCCGTGCTGCCGCGCCAGTGATCGTTCGCTCACCGCGCGGCTGTTGTCCTAGCGGCGTTTGGCTTTGCTCGCGGTGCTGGCGGCCGGCCGGCGGCTCGTGCGACGCACTGACCAGCCGGCGCTGGTCGCGCCCCTCCAGCGCCTGCTTCCACTGCGTCTGCGATATCTGCCTGCCGACGGTACAGGCAGGTCAGCCGGGCCCGGCGGCGGCAACCAGTGCCGGCGCGCCGCGACGCCTCCTATTGGATGGGCTGCAATTTCCACCGGAACACACTCCGTCTCAGCGCTTCTTAAGATGCAATGGATCTCTGTAGTTTTTTTTGTGTACAATTTCATCAAGTTACGAAGTTCAACCATAAGGAATATTCCGCTTCAACAAGATAAAAAGACCATTTTTGGCCTCGTCGTATCCGATTTTCATGAAATTCTAACCTTAATAAAAATTGTAAAATTTACCTTATGCTCATAATATCGGAGAAATTCACTGAAAAAAATCCAGAAAATATTTTCGAGCTTGGTTCTTCTTCGGTGAAATCAAAAATGGCGAGAGAGCGGCAACAACAATAAAATTCAAACTGTTAAAACACACTTCAATTCACCACGCATCTTGCTACATACAAAATTTCAGCGAAGCCTACACCACATCCATATAATTATATAGTTCATACTTTTTCAGTTTAAAGATCAAGCTCATTAAGGATTTTGTCATCACCGCACATGCAAAATCAATATTACACGAGTATCAAGGCACAGTGTCATCCAGGGCTGCGGAGTCGGAGTCAGAGTCGGAGTCGGAGTCGGAGTCGGAGTCGGTCGGAGTAGACAGTTCTGACCGGAGTCGGAGTCGGAGTCGATTTTGGAAACCGGAGCCGGAGTCGGAGTCGCAGTCACTGAAAATCCATCGACTCCGCAGCCCTGGGTCATCATCACAGTCAGTAGCTATCGCATTAGCAGATATAATGTACAGTAGGTCCACTAAAAAAGTCCCCCGCTCCAGAAGCGGCCTGCCGGCCGAACCCATCCATATTTTTGAAGTCATTCAGATTTTTGAAGGCATCAAACATAAGACATTAGATATTGGAAAACATTGGACAGCATAATATCAAATAGCTATGATATGTGGTTCATATGTATCACGTAACTATACACCACAATTCTAAATGAGCGATATCAGTTTGCAGCAGACACACGGCATCTAACAAGTAAAGATCATTCACATCATTGGCGGTCGCAGGGGGGGGGGCCATGGGGGCCATGGCCCCCCCCCCTTTGGTGCTGAAAGGTGGGGCCATACTATCTTTTGGCCCCACCTTTCAGATCGAACAAAAGTCCTAGAAAAGCTTTTCGTATGTTTCATTTTCTTTCTTGCGCCATCAAAGGACGTAAATTTCACTCATGAGTGGGCTCAGTTTCGCATTCTGTCAATTTGGCGGTCAGCGTCGCTGGCACCGGTTCACGAGTATGGCCGGATCTTATATGGAATATCAGCGTGGGTTTACTTAAGGCTCTCGTAGGCCCAGCATTCAGCAATGGCTGGCATGAGACCCTCTTCGGCAGTGGCGGGTGGGCCCTGCTAAAGGAGATTGGCTCCAAGACACTAAAGTAAGACCTCATGGGTTGGTGCTGTGCACCTCAGAAGCCCGGTGGTGATGCCGTATGCCGGTTTGGTTTCTTAATGATTAGCGTGGGACCTTCGGGGCCTGCACAGAGTTTGCCTGAGCTAGTATGTAATCTCAGAGGCATGTGTGTAATGTGTAAACAGTGGCGGTCGCGACTCGCGGGGGGCCGGGGGGGGGGGGCATCAGGGCCATGCCCCCAAAGGTCAATAAAGGGGGCCATCATATCATTTGACCCCCCCTCAAACAACCAATGGGCTCCCATATAGGTGTATGGGGCCCTGGCAATTATTCGATCGTCACGAGGCTAAAAAAAAAAACACGCCAAGCTATTAATATAGCTCCCACACCGGTCTTTGAGCGTCCTACACTGACCTCTGAGGGAACTTCAGTGGCGGTCAAGCGCCCACGTTGACCGCTAAGAGCCTACATCAACCTCTGAGGCCCCACATCTGGCCTATGAGGGCCCCTAACCGGCCTCAGGGGTCCCAACCGGCGTCTGAGGGTCTCACACCGGTCTCTGGTGGCCTTATTTCTGTCTCTGGTGTCCCAAGACGAACCTTTAGACCTGCCAATAAGGGCCCCGCACTGGCTGCTGAAGACCCGAAGCGGGCCTCTAAGGGTCTGCATTGGCCTCTGAGGAGGGCCCATCTTGGCCTTTGAGGGCCCTCTGCTGGCCTCTGGGGTCCAACGACGGCTCATGCCGGTCTTTTAGGGCCCCACACTGACCTCTGAGGGCCCATGTTGGCCTGTAATGAGTAAGGACCCACATTAGCCTCTGAGAGCCCAACTCGGTCTCTGATGGTCTCAAACTACTGGCCTTTGTAGTTTGCAGGCCCTGTACTGGTCTCTGAGGGCCCTAAACTGGCCTCTACATGAAAACATACATGTATTGTATTGTATTGTATTGTATTCACTCAGCAGCACATTCCAATGTAAGCATGCACATCTGATGGGATGACACACAATTGGCTATTACTGTGCTTTGTCGAACAGTGTATAAACAAATAGGGACCAATATATTTACTGTAACAAACACATCACTCTCGCACGTATATCTACAGTTTAACACCGACAAGGCATCCAGCGTTCACGTACTCACGACAGAGAGACAGTTTCTCTTCACTGCGGCTGCAAAACGTGTTCTGTTCCGCGCTCTAACTTGGGGCGGCAGGGCGTTATAGTCGGCTACCGCACGGTACAAGAACTGTCGTTTGCCGCTGTTGTGCTGTACAGGTGGTAAGCGGATGTCACCCGAGTGACGCGTGTTTCTGCCGGTGATTTCGATGTTCTGACTAAGACTATTCGCAAGGCAGACAGGCTGTCCTGTTGTAATGATACTGTGTAGTGTGGTCACGTTGTGATAATAGGCTAGACGGTTTGCGTTCAGTACAGGGCTTTGTTGTATCACGTCAGATATATGGTCGAACTTACGACGGTTTGTCATGACTCTGGCGCAGAAATTAAGGATTGCTTGGACCTGCTTCATGTTTGTCTGGTTTGCGCTACCGTACACAGAAAGGCAATAACGTACAATCGAAATCACCAGACTCTCCACCACAGTGCTGACGAGCTCACCAGGAAGACTGTGCCTGACGTGTGACAGGGCTACAAGCAGTCCCGTACAGCGTGTTTTAATGTCAGCGATGTGAGCAGAGAATGTCAGAGACCGATCAAATGTCACTCCAAGATTGCGAACAGTGTCACTCTCCTCTATGCGAGTGGTCCCAACAGTGATGGAGACGGGTGGCAGGCGTTTCAACATCTGTTGCGTTCCGACCACGATCAGTTTAGTTTTGCCGGCATTCAGTTTCATGGCATGCTGTCCAAACCATTGGTACATTGTGGAGACCGCACGCTCCAGCCTATCCGAAACCTCAGCCAGGTCTGCCCGCTTACCGGATACGATGATCTGTGTATCGTCCGCGTACTGTGTGATATGCACATCCCTCTCAACATGGAGGCTGACATCATTAGAGAAGATCGTGTACAGCAATGGCCCGAGGGCACTCCCTTGATACACGCCAATGGGATTTTCACGAGGTTGTGACGTCAGATGACCACGATGTCTACAGGTAAATGACACCTTTTGACGATGGTTGCGCAGGTAGTTTTCGAACCAGTGAGTGTCTACACCGTGAAGGTGAAGCTTCTCGAGGAGCTTTCCGTGGTCAACCACATCAAAACATTTGGATAGATCCAACAGCACCACCATTGCAATTTCACCACTGTCCATGGCCCTAAGTAGGGTATCGCTCACCGACACGAGGGCTGTCTGACATGAATGATGTCTGCGGAACCCATGCTGTGATTCAGCGAAGAGATGACATGTCTCGAAGAAATGATACAGCTGCTCATGGACAATACGTTCGGCGATCTTAGCTATGCAAGGGACGATCGAGATCGGTCTAAAGTTAGCCGGATCGTTTTAAAGTCCTGACGATTTGTAGATGGGTTTGACTAATGACATTTTCCAGGAATCAGGGACAATACCAGTAACGAGGCTTGTGTTGATAAAATTTTAATATCATTATATCAAAAATAGGTAAATGTATTAATAGCGCTATGGCATCGCCTTTGGCATCGCCGATTTCTGCAACCGTTCTACCCTCATCACTCAACTGAATAATTCTCCCCTTTTCAAAAACGGTGCAGTGATACGGCATCTCAAACCTAGAGCGCCTACACTCAAGTTCAAGCTAACGGTCTCCACTCTCCAATTCAGATACCTATCGAAACCTTTCCGCGACCCGGTGCTGTGGCTCAATCAGTGGGCCAGCTGGCCGCAGACCATACCCGCAGGGCATGAACCTTTGACCATATTAGGTCAACACGCCGTGGCCCCAGCCCGCTCGCCAGGTCCGCGCTCATTGGCCGACGCGGCAACCGCACAACCTGTCCCCTCCCCTCCGTAGTACTCGCAGCGGCCGGCGGATTCAGCCAAGTTACCGACCTGCCCAGCCCGGGGAGGGCCGGCCGGGAAAGATACATATTTGACCGACTATACATATTATGAGAATGTGCCTAAATGCAAATACACTTCCAATACTGCGCGTCAGTTAAATGGCAAAGAAAGAGAGAATACATATATAAGACAATTCATGTTGACAGTATCTGTTTTTCTATTCAACATTTATTTTATATTCTGAATACAATATACGGCCGCAGATTTTGCCCATTTTATAAACCCAACCCGTGTATTGATCGTTTCGTTCGTTGCAATGTATGCCGCTTCCGTCGCCTTTCTACTCCCCTTGCTTTTGCACTTCGCTATCACTCTCGCCCCTCCCCAATTCGGTAAATGATTCGTTGAGTGAGCATGAAGCACGAATGCACTGTGTTCCATGTCGTTTCTTACATCTCTCCTATGTTCCTTTAATCTTTTGTCCATGCCTCTACCTGTTTCACCTATATATGACTTTTCACAATGCCCACAGGGTACCTGATATACAACGCTAAGATCTACATTTCTACTTATTTTCTTTTGCGTGATCTCTCCTATTTTTCTGCCAGAAGTCAATACGACTTTGACGCCTGTCGTTTCAAGTTCTTTCGCGATGTTTTCGGCTGCTTTTGAGTTCGGTAATGAAATATATCTTATGTCGTTCTTTTGTTTCGCTTCAGCTTTTGCTCTGTTTCGAATGTTCAACGCTTTTTTCTTGAGACGAATGAGATAGCCTTTGGGATATTTAAGCTTCATGAAACTGGAAAAGATGTGCTCAATTTCTTCAGCAAGATACTCCTCACTACAAATACGAAAGCCCTTAAGAAAAAGCCCAATACCACCCCACTTTTCACTCTTCACTCATCTCCAGAGAGAGAAAAAAAAACAGGAGAGTGTGACCAAAAGCACTGTGTGAGCTGGAGATCAGAAACCCGTCCCCTCTCCCACTCAAAAATCCGTGGCGACGCCCCTGAGCCGGCCAGCCGGCCGCTCACACTAAAAAAATATGTCTTTCTACGCAAAACTTCGCTTGCTCGTAACTGCAGGTCTTGCAGTGTATGCTTACCTACTAGATTTGTAGAAAGCCCACAAAAAGCTTCGTGGCCCCTAGCACAAGGCGCTTTTAGGATCTTACGGGAAACGTCGGGGACCGCTCCTTGCAACTAACAAGAAAAAGTTAGGCATGGTGCCCGTTGTTTTCTAGAACACCCCCTCCCCGGAGCCTCGGTGGGACCAGCGACGGGCAGAAGCAGCTCACCGGCGCTGACTGGCCAGGTGACCACTCACCGGAAGTGGGGGGCGGCCGGCTGACTGGCTCTGGCGGCGCCACCGAACTCGGCCGAATGCGGCGCCTTCTGCCAATCAAAAGGGCGGGCGCGGTCAGAGACAGTCATCAGCTGACCAGCTCCAGCTCGTGCTGCCACCCTCGTCAGCTGGTGCCAGTGTGGGCGGTACACCGAGGTGCGGCACACCCTGCCACCCTCGTCAGCTGGTGCCAGTGTGGGCGGTACACCGAGGTGTGCGGCACACCCTGCCACCCTCGTCAGCTGGTGCCAGTTGGGCGGTACACCGAGGTGCGTGTGTGCGTGCGCGTGTGCGTGTGTGTGTGTGTGTGTGCGTGTGTGTGTGTGTGTGTGTGTGTGTGTGTGTGTGTGTGTGTGTGTGTGTGTGTGTGTGTGTGTGTGTGTGTGTGTGTGTGTGTGTTTGCACCGTGCAGAGGGGTGCTTTGACGTCGTGCACAGGTCAAACGGTGCGGTCGATTGGGCTGAAATTTTCGCAGCGTGTTGATGACGTCACGCGCACGTGCAGTGGCGTGTTTCGAGACTCAGGGGGTAAATGGGTGGCACGTGGCACGCGCTGGAAAAATGCGTATTTCCTCACAAATTTGCTCGGTCTTCGAGGCATCGGCAGCCGGGTTCGATGAGCTTTGCAACTAAAATGCATGGCAAGCGGCGGTGGGTGCCTCTCATTTGCGGATGACAGCTTATTCATTTTGATAAACAGAGGCGAATGAATATGTTGATTTTCGGTAAATAAAGACAGTTTTTAATACGCTTACACAAATGCACTGGGTTTGCCGCAATGCGCCACATTTGTCCAGAGGCGCCATTTTTGTCGCTGATCGCAAAACTTTGTCAAATATGGTCCGATAAAGGTGCGATTCGGTGGAAGGATGCATGACAAAATGACAGGCACAAATGCACCACTTTTGTCACAATGCGCCATTTCAACCAAATACGATTAAGAATAATGGAATGACACGAGTAGGAGCAGGGTTAGGAACTCTTTTTTTATCAGTTTATCTGATAGTCTGTGACCTCACATGGCCCAGTGGTAGTGGTAGGTGTAGTGGTAGTAGTATTGGTAGGAGTAGCAGTAGGGGTAGTTGTAGTATTAAGGGTAGTGGTAGGGGTAGTGGTAGGGGTAGTGGTAGGGGTAGTGTTAGGGGAAGTATTAGGGGTAGTGGTATGGGTAGTGGTAGGGGTAGTAGTAGGGTAGTGGTAGGGGTAGTGGTAGGGGTAGTGGTAGTGGTAGGGGTAGTGGTAGTGGTAGGGGTAGTGGTAGAGGTAGTGGTAGGGGTAGTGGTAGGGGTAGTGGTAGGGGTAGTAGTAGTGGTAAGGGTAGCAGTAGGGGTAGTGGTAGGGGTAGGGGTAGGGGTAGCGGTAGGGGTAGGGGTAGTGGTAGGGGTAGTGGTAGGGGTAGTGGTAGGGGTAGTGGTAGGAGTAGTGGTAGGGGTAGTGGTAGGGGTAGTGGTAGGGGTAGTGGTAGGGGTAGAGGTAGGGGTAGTGGTAGGAGTAGTAGTATGAGTAGAAGTAGTAGAAGTGTGGTGCAGGGCGATCTAATGTGACGTGGTGACCCTATACGACCTGGCCTGACCGAAGGTGACCTGGCCTGACCCAGTGTGACCATGGATGACTTAGTGACCCAGTGGTAGTGGCAGTAGTGTAGTGGTAGTAGTATTGGTAGGAGTAGCGGTAGGGGTAATGGTAGTATTAGGGGTAGTGGTAGGGGTAGTGTTAGGGGTAGTAGTAAGGGTAGTGGCAGGGTAGTGGTGGGGGTAGTAGTAAGGGTAGTAGTAGTAGGGGTAGTAGTAGGGTAGTGGTAGGGGTAGAAGTAGGGGTAGTGGTAGGGGTAGGGGTAGTGGTAGGGGTAGGGGTAGTGGTAGGGGTAGTGGTAGGGGTAGTGGTAGGGGTAGTGGTAGGTGTAGTGGTAGGGGTAGTGGTAGGGGTAGGGGTAGGGGTAGGGGCCGGGTAGTGGTAGGGGTAGTGGTAGTAGTGGTATTCACTGGTATGGGTAGAAGTAGTAGAAGTGTGGTACAGGCCGATCCAATGTGACGTGGTGACCTATACGACCTGACCTCACCGAAGGTGACCTGGCCTGACCCAGTGTGACCAGACCATGACCATGTTGACCTGACTTGACCCCGTATGACCCAAATTTCATCCAACTAAGCCCTCAGAATAGTTATTAAGTTCAACATTTTCCTCTGCACATTTCCGTCCATATCTTTTCCGTCCATATTCCTACAATACTATTTGTAGAATGGAACTCTGTATGAATGTGTGTGTGTGTTTGCACCGTGTCGAGGGGTGCTTTGACGTCGTGCGCAGGTGAAACGGTGCGGTAGAGGGGGCTGAAATTTGCACACAGTGTTGATGACGTCACGCACACGTGCAGTGGCGTGTTTCGAGTCTCGGGGCTCCACCAACAAGTTCCACCAATGTAAAAATGTCATTCTCACACAAAAATCATAATTGGATGAAGGTAGAGAGACAAAGAACGAGCGGACATTTGCTGCAGTGTGGATAAAGTCGCTAGAGGCTTGAGACCATGGGTGCAGAAACGTTTTCAAAATTGGTGTGGGGTTTACAGCCATTCTAAAAAACTAACCCATTTTTGCTGACCCCAAAATCTCATCGGATCTGCATCGATCTCAGGGGGTACTCGGACGAAGGTTGGGGAGGCAAACTGCCCCACTTGCCCTCCCCCCCCCCGTGGCGACGCTAGTGTTGAAAGCCTTCACTGGTTAGAAGAGCTTAGAGGAGGTTTGAGCAGTCACTGGAATAGACCGTATCATGCTCAAGCTCAGGTGGAAACGCCAGTCAGCTTGTTTATCGCCCTGCCAATCAACTCATAGACCCGGGAACAGGGGGGGGGGGTAGCGAGGGCGCTTGCCCCCAACTTGTGAGTCGACAGTCACCAGCAGTTTTTTGGCTATAACTTTTGATAGAGACGTGCTTGATCGGTGAAAACACGTCAGATGTGTTCAGCTCGACGATACGGATCGACCGATATGTAGCATGACCCCTTCCGGCCAGGTCATGACCTTGACCTGAGGTCAAATTTTCAAAATGACCTTTCAAGGTCAACAAATGGTTGATTCGACGCGTCTGGACGAGAGGAGCACGATGCTGCCAAAAGTAATGTCGTGACTCTCTTGAGTAAAAAAAAAATATGGCCGAAAAAAAAACATTTTTTTAAGAAAACGACTATTTTTAGTTTTGCCCTCTGCAGGCTAAACCGCTGACCTGAGGTCAAATCTGACAGCATGTCTCAGAAAGGTCTGAAAAGGGCTATCGAATGCGCTTTTCCGCGGCGCTGTAGCTCCATTAGTTCCTGAGTTAGCCGTTGGCAGTTTCCAAAATTATTGGAATGGACTAAATTTGACCTTTGATGACCTGACCTTTGACCTGACCTTAAAAATGACAGAAGTGTTTTCTTCCTTCTTTTTGACGTTCTTTCGACTGCCGCTTACCGTAGGTATGTCGCTACGTGGCCCAGGAGCCGAGTTAGACGGGGGGCGTGACAACGCCCCCCCCCCCCCCACCACCACCAGCACTCGGCGGAAAGTTCAGGCCGCCAGCACGGTGCGGGTTAATTGTGAAGAAACCGCGAAATAGAAAGTGTAGCATGCTATCTGTATCGTGTATCAACTTGCCCCAAATTTCTTCCATTTACCCCGAATATCTTGCTTTTGTTTTCCGTCTTTCAAACAAAGGTGAAAAATCGTATAGAAATGACAATCTGCTTGTACTTTCCAAACGAATTCAGATATATAGCATGTGACGGACTTTGGCGCAGCTCCGTTGTGTAATTTGGACGGTAAGTTCATAAAACCAAAAAAGTAACGCATCGCCCCACCCTCCCCTACACAGGGACCGTGTGCACTGGGCGGTATACCAGGAGCGTATGTGTGTTGTACGGAGGGGAATAATACAGTGTGCAATAGCCGGGGAGTGTGTGCGGTGCGCCGGGGGGCGGCGGCAGAGTGTGTGGGCTGGGGTCGGCGGGCTGCCACTGACCTGGCTGGTCGCGCTGCCGGCCGGCTCGGTGTGCGAGTAGTACGCCGGCCGATCGGACGCCATGGTGGCCAGGCCGGGCGGTGTTCCCACGCGCCACACGCTCGTCCGGCCGCCGCCGCTGCAAAACAGACACGCATTTGTGACAGACATGCACATTGCACACAGACACAGCCAAGCGCCGCTCGGACAACGGGAGCGCGGTGAGGCCGAGGGAAACGAGCACTGTCAGGTCCAGAAATTTGGAATTGGAGGCTTCAGGACAGGGTAGCACATAAGCAACCCACTTTTTACAGTACCTACTGCCATTTTCACCATGATGATTCTTGCATTGACTGTTGGGCATCAGTGGCGGCGCTCGGTTTCCTCTTCTACTAATCAGCCAGCCTTTTCCACAGGCGGCGGAACGGGGTGGGGGCACCGGCGCACCGTGTTCCCTCTTGATTTTGGCATTTTAACATTAGCCCTATGGGCGTTGCATGGAAAGAATGGGACCAAAAGTCGGCAGTCCTCCCCCCCCCCCCTAATTGAAGGTGTTCCGCCGCTACTGGCCTTTTCACATCTAGCTCTGGCTGTCAGCAAAACTTCCTTGGGGGTTGTCTTTAGGGCGATAAGCCACCGAGCGCGAGTGTGAACCCTACTCGTGCGCTAGTGCTAAAGGGTACCTTCAACTGACTCGTGCAGGGCACCCTACTTGACCCGCGCATGACTCACAGAGCCCCAACCTCCGATCTCCGAAACCACTTGGGGTAATTGTCAAAATTCAACCACGAGGTCACCGATGACGTCACAGGTCAGGTCAACGTAAAAATTATCAACATTTTCGTTTGTTTACCATTATGGCTCTAGCCACCGTCAACAACTCAGATTAGGCTCATTTTTGGTTTGGACACTCGTGAAGATATGCCTTAAAGGCCGCCCCACACCGGACCCCGCATGCGGGTTGCGAGTTTTTGGGTTTTGCGGTTTCTTCAACATCAGTACAATCTAAGCTGAGTGACCCACACTACCATCTAACAAGCGAGTCTGCATGTTTTTAGCATGCGAGCCAACTTGCATCGCATTCCAAAAGTTGATTTTGAGTCAACTTTCGATTTTCCTCGCTGCGAGATCTGCGAGTTCTGCGAGGTTTGCGGGTTTTTCGTTGGAGTCGAAATTTGGTTCGTTGCGCTGGTATTGCGACTATATGTAATTTTCTGAAGGTGTACTGGCTTCATTGCATTCATGAAGTTACCATAAGGGAACGGCCTAATCACTCTATGAATTAGTAGTATGCCCGCAAGCTCAAACAAGCAAACTCGCAACCCGCATGCGAGTTTTTGGGTTTTCGGGTTTCTTCCAAATTAAAGAATACACTCTATGTTGAGTGACACATACCACCATGTAACAAGGGAGTCTCCATGTTCTTAGCATGCGAGCCAGCTTGGATCGCATTCGAAAAGTTGATTTTGAGTCAACTTTCGATTTTCCTCGCTGCGAGGGCTGCGAGTTTTGGTGTGTTTTGTTGAAGTCGAATTTTGGTTCGTTGTGCTGTTATTGCGATAATATGCATTCTACTGAGGGTGTACCGGCTTCACTGCAATCATGTAGTGACCTTAAGAGAATGGTTTAATCACTCCATGAATGAGTATTATACCCGCAAATAAAAAACCCGCAGACTCGCAAACCGCATGCGAGGTCCAGTGTGGGGCGGCCATTAGATACCCGGAGGGTACAGAGCTTGTACTTTGCCTTTTTGTTAACGCTTGGTGATCCTAACCGTCATAAAATTTTATATCATTTATCGGTCATATGACACATGTTTTATGGTCCCTTTCGGCTATATAATTCGAAATCAGTGCCGTCTGTGTCATGGGTGGTGAAAATAGGTAAGGGTGGTGTTTAGCGGCACGATTAGCCTCTTTTGGCTTCCATAGAGATATCAACAAGCCTATACCTCTAAGTTGGTGATATATCTAAAACTTCAAAGGTTATGACGCTTTAAATATGATAATGTGCCTTGCCTAAGCTAATGTTTGAGACGTGTATCTCGGAAACGTGACGTCATATCTTAACAGAAAAGTCTCCTTACTTTTCACACATAGATGAGTAGTTGCACAAATTTCCGCAAAAACCGGAGGAGGTAAGGTTTAAAATGGTCATTTTTTGTCCCACTTGACGTGGAATGCCCCATTTTCATTTTACTGTACAATCCGTCTTAAAAGTACCGCGCAAAGTGACGGTGGATCCATCAAACCTGACCGAGGAACGGCCTGCTAAATTTGAGTCACCGAAGCAATTGACATCCTCGTCCATTCCCCAGGTCAATTGGTTCGGTGACTTTCAAGTTACAGCGGGCCCTTCCTCGGGCTCGGTCAGGCTTGATGGATCCACCGTTACTTTGCGCGGTACTTTTAAGACAGACTGTACAGTGTACAGGAAAGTAAAATGAATGAGACACCTGCGAGCGTTGAGAGTGCATAAATGTGGCGTCAATTTTGAGATACATCGTTTCCTTAAAAAAAAAAACGGCCAAATTACCCCATCCATCCCTTGATCACTTTGAGCCCAATTTTTGCCAGGTGGGATGGTCATTTTAAGATAGAACGGCCGCCGGCCAACACCGCAGTGCGACGACCGCGCCAAAAGCATGCAGACAGCGGCATAACGGTCGGCGCCCGAGCATGCAGAGGGAAGCACAACAACCGGCACAGGAGAGGCAGGCAGGCAGCGGTGTCGGACTGGCTGGCTGCAGTGTTGGGCGCACCTACCGCGCGGCACGGCTGCTGGGCTGCGTGTGGGCACATCAGTGAGCAGCCGACGGCCGAGACTGCCATCGATCGGCTGCCCAGATGGCCAGCTGCCCGGGCTGCGCTTCGATCGATCCCAGAGAGCGCCACCCACCGGCCGCGCAGGACACCGGCCCCAGAGCGCGCCGCACAGCAGTGCTGCCGTCTGTCACCGCAGCGCCGCACAGCAGTGCTACCATGTGTCACAGCAGTGCTACCATGTGTCACCGCAGTGCCACCGTCTGTCACCGCTGCAGGCCGCAGCATTTCGTTCTACCGTCTGTCACCGCAACACCCCACAACGGTTCTACCGTCAGTCACCGCAGCACCCCACAACAGTTCTACCGTCAGTCACCGCGGCACCCCACAACAGTTCTACAGTCAGTCACCGCGGCACCCTACTGTTTCGCTAACGAAAGTTACGTTTGATTAGTTGAGCGTCAAACACTGTGTGCGATTTAGATATTCATTTTGGGCAGTGTTTTAGAGGCGCGATTGCGTCAGCTGGCCGACGCGTGGCTGGTATACTAAAACCTTGGTTGTTTTGTTGAAAAAAGGTGAGCCACGCCCAGGGGGGTGCGCTCCGGGCTTTTAACATTACGAAAAGTGGAGACACCTTCGCTACCGCTGTCAGCATCGTAAGCATTCTAAACAACAACTGCAGTAATCCCACCAATCAGCGTACGACAATACTCGACGCTCATTGGCTGATAAGCCAGTGACGATTTTGGGGGCCAGAGTGCTAGAGGTAACCTATAGCAGCACGGGCCGCTAAGTTTAGGACTTGATTTTGATATTATTTAGGCCAGTCTGATAAAAACTCTGGTCGGTTATGAAAACTGCAATTCATTCTAGTAGTGATCCGACAAGTCTTTTTGCTTTTTTCTAAAACAATTCGTTGAAAAATGAGTTATTAGATGCGTACTCATGTCAAATTTGCCCCGTTACCATGGCAACCTGAGTTTGTTTGGTCCCCAGAGTCGCGGTTACTAAATTCATTGTTGTCCCCAGTTTTTCATCGGGAGCGTTCTACCTGGTTTACATAGCCTTGGCCACGCCCCACGCTGAATGTGTGAAGATAGAGGGTACGGCTGCTATAGTAATTTAAACCCACGGTCAGATGTGGTAATTTCATTTTTGTTGTGTTGGTTGAAAACTGTAGAAGCCGTCAGTCATGATTGCAAGCTGAATACATGGCCAGCGATACATTTAAATTACTATAGCCATTCGGTTTGAAGTTTGAGCAGCCAGTTCAAGCTAAAGTGTGGTTTGTTGAAAGTTCTGACTTGATTTTCATGAAAGGCCGTGTTGTTTTGATTGCCTAGTCAAGCTGGCAATGAGTTGTGTCAAGATAGATGTTGTGAAAAGTGATGCGGCAAAGTTGGCTCGCTGCCAAGACAAGGTGAATGCCTCTCAAAAAGGGCAAGATGTGGAGAAAAGGTTCTAATGTTGATGTTTAATCTAATGGTGTTCTGTCCCTGAAAAAGTATATCTTTGTGGTGTCACATTTTGCTTGTCATTGAAAGTTTGCTCTGGTAAAGCTCAGTTCACGTATGTATTGAAGTCTCTAAAATGGAGAAGGAAAGGCTGAAGTTAAGAACGTTAGCAAAGAGAGCTTTTACTAGGCTAAACAACGACATCACAGAGACTATTGAGCAGGAAGGTGACTTTGAACTCATTACAGAGATGTTTCAAAATCTGAAGGAAGCCTGGGCTAAAGTGCAGGAACAGCATGAACAGTATGTGAGCTTTCAAGACGAGGAGGATGATGACTGGCTTGAAGACGTGTACCAAAAGTTCAGTGAAACTCAGAAGAAGTTTTTCTGTGCTAAGAAAGAAGAAGAAGGGAAGAAGGCAGAGGCAGTGAGGAAGGAACAGAAAAGCAAAATCCAGCTGAGGCCTGTTGATTTACCAAAGTTCAGTGGAAAAGTGAGAGATTACCCTCGCTTCAAAGCTGACTTCTTGAAGTATGTGCTTCCACACACAGATGAAGAAGCAGCCGCATTCACACTGCGCATGTGTCTCTCTGAAGATGCACGGGACAAGGTGTCACTGTTAGATGAAGTGAAGGACATGATGGACAAACTCGATGAGGAATATGGGGATCCATCTGCACTGACCGATCTGGTGATGAATGAAATCAAGAGGTTTGACATGAAAGGAAGCAGGAAGCTGATTGATTTCATCGATGTTGTTGAGAAGGCGTACTTTGATCTCAAGAATCTCAACATGGAGAAAGAGATATCAAACACGACCATTGTCAGCATCATTGAGATGAAGCTGCCAGAAGATGTGAGAAGAAAATGGGCTGAACGAGTGAACATGGATGACAGTCCTGTCGACAAATCTGACA